AATATAACATTATGTATTGATTGTTTTGTGGTAAATAAAAAATTTTTCTTTCCTTTCTTTCCTAATATCAATATCAATATCAGATAAAACTATCCTTTTGATATTGAGATATTGGTATCTCAGATCACGTGTACATCATTCTTTTTTATGACAGTAATTTATTGACACTCACAGCTATAATTTTAATCATTGAATCAGTATTTTTATCTGTGCTCTGCGTAATGCATCACATGAATCAGTTTTTTAATCTATTAACTTATTACACATTTGTGCTCTGCTTTAGCATCACTTGACTATTTAAAAAAATTGTTTGTTCAGGCCATGACCTTATAGTCAGCCAATTGGCCATTGCTATATTATGTGTATATTGTTTGAATAAAACTCCCTCTTAAACTTTGATATCAGATAAAACTACCGAATAAATTATTAAATATCAATTAATTCGTTCCGATAAATTTTTTTATAAATTTAGATATTATTTAGTATCTAAAAACATTACAACAAATGGTTAAAAGCGCTCAAAATTGATTTGAGAGATTTTCTGCCTATAGTACAATCAATAATCATGATAGTAATAGTAAGTGTGTGCCGCTACAATTAGATTTGATTACTGCAATTTAAAATTGTTTGGAGTCCAAGTATCTTTTAAGTCAGCTGCCTGTGCTTGTATTAATAGTGCTTTGGTTCTCAATTTTATCAAGTTAATGGATGTTTCTAAGCAGTTGCTTGAAGTTGAAATTTTTTTATGAACAGCGTTCCAAAGCTTGGCTGCATTAAACAAAAAGTATTTGATTTAATATGCTCGTTATACACTTTTGGATACCGCATGTATATGTACATATTAGCTCATAATAACAACTACCAATAACAAATAAAATATAAGCATGAAGAGGTCCAAAACCAATTCAAGCATGACACCAGATTGAAACCAACATTGAACACATTGTCATCGCTGCAAGCTTATTATCGTATGATTCCACGTTGATCCGTTATTATGCAGTCACCTTCAGGCGGTGTCGACGGATCATGCAAAAAGGGTTTTTGACAGGCTGTGCCCTTACCATAATTCAACTGAACCATTGCTTGATGTAAACATGAGTGTTGGAATTGAATGTGGAAAAATTCGGAAAAACCTAACTACAGTAAGTTAGCAAAACTGCCCGTTTGTTTTGGAAACAAGCAACGTTACGCCACTGTAAAAGCTGTCTGGAGAAACTCCTTAACATTTTCATTGCAGTCAACGGGCACAAAAAAGCAGTGTTGCAGAGCAAATTTCCAGCCAATACTTCGAGATAGATGGACCTGTTAAGAATGAACAGACAAGATGCCACAAGCGAGGACAAAGGAGCTTTAGCATGGCATCATAATGGTAAGGGATCTTAAACACAACCAATAAACCAAATAGTTACTTTTATATATATATTATAATATATCAAAGTCACTATTGTGACGGTACATTGGAACTACACAGAAACAAAGTGTGCAGGGCCTGAACGGAACCCCTCGGTTTCAGTTCCTTGTTTAACACAGCCATACAGCAAGGACATTTACCTCATCACCTGGTTCTCCAAGGATGGGCACATAGCTCACTCCACACTATGCTCTGTCAAATGTTGCTAATATACCAAGGATCTACAGGAAATATTTCCTTGTAAGTTTAGAGGGCGATCTGTGAACATACAACTACCTCATTCCCAAATATAGGAACTAGAATTCCTATACTATCCCAACGAGCTACACCAAGCATAGTTTCAGATGAGAACAGCCATGACAAATCAGCAGGCTAGTACTCTTGGTTATATATTAAAGTCACTATTGTTATATTATTTATATATTATTTATATATTATTTATATATTATTGATATATTATTGATATATTATTTATATATTATTTATATATTATTTATATATTATTTATATATTATTTATATATTATTTATATGTTATTTATATGTTATTTATATATTATTTATATATTATTTATATATTATTTATATATTATTTATATATTATTTATATATTATTTATATATTATTTATATATTATTTATATATTATTTATATATTATTTGTATATTATTTATATATTATTTATATATTATTTATATATTATTTATATATTATTTATATATTATTTATATATTATTTATATATTATTTATATATTATTTATATATTATTTATATATTATTTATATATTATTTATATATTATTTATATATTATTTATATATTATTTATATATTATATATATAACTCTAAAACTCGGGTCACAAGAGCAACTGCCTAAACGTGCAGAAGTGAAAACAAATAAATAAAAATACTAGCAGTCATTAATACTCGTAATAAATAGATTCGTTCAATGTCATAAATTCTTAACCATACAATGTGACCAGTAAAATAATTTAATTGGTCTATAGACTACTGTGTAAAATTCTCAAAATAAACTTTATTAACAATAATAAATATGCTACAATATTAAAACTGTTTAGTTGAGTTCAGGTAACAGAATTTAACTGTAATAGCACCTTTGCAGTATTATCCATTGTTGAGATGTAGCCATTTTTCGTCCGGTCTTGATTAACCTGACTCACGATACATAATATGCTTCGTCCGGTCTAACATTGAACCCAGAGGCATATTGACTTAGGTAGGTATTTTTCTCTTAGGTAGATATTAAGAATTTGGTAAATTTCTTAATTGTATGACTATTTCCATTATCATGAGACGTTTTTAATATTTAATTTAAGAGGGTTTTTGAAATTTTTATAGGACTGGTTCACAGTGTGAACAGATTCCAGATTTATATATTTTCAAACTGATATTTAATAAATGATTAAAAGAACCAATTTAAAAAGTTGCCATACTAAAGCCTTTAGGTCCAAAAATATACCCATTATGTTCACTTAAAAACAACTCTAAATCAGTAGGCTGTCACTCTATTAATGCACCACACCGCTACCTCCACTGCACTAAAAGTTATACAATAAATTCTACAAAAAAAAAAAAAAACAAAAAAAAAACAAAAAAAAACATTTACAGTACTAGGTTGCCGTTTGGTGTGAGCAATAGTGAACAGCACGCACACTCCTTTGCCCCGTCAACCTATATCTAATCTATTTAAAGAGTGACAACCATACTACACATCGAATTAGGATTCCTTTAAATATCAAATTGATTTATTGTAAACTTGTTTACTCTGTAATAAATGGCATAGAATTGAAATTTTTGTTTAACTGAAATTTGTTGTTTAACTGAGTTAGGGAAAAATTCAACTTCCATCCCCAAAACATCACTGACGTAGCTGGTCTGCTCTCCAGACTCCAACAAAACTCTAGATCCTACCAAATTTACTGCCACAGCTAGAGCAATCCATTCAATTATCTCTGTGAACAAACAATATACAGCCTAAAATTATAAGAGCCCAGATTTCCACTCAAATACTGGCAAGTGCATAATGCTATAGGACTCTAAAATGAAATTGAGCGATACTAACTCGATTTATTTATTTAAAAAAACTAGTATTATATAACATTTCTAAATTATCCCTACACATATTTTGTAAATAATTAGCGTTTGCCAAATTGAGGATTTCCAGTCTACAGCTGTAAGGAAGAATAACCATCTCATCAATTAGACAGGTAAACCGCCTAGGAACGCTCTCCAGCTCCAGTATCCAATCTCCGCTCAAGTACCCTAGCTGCCGCTCCAATCAACCTTCCCTTCTGCTCCAGTGCTTTGGTTGCTGCTCTGATGCTTTTCAGCTACCGTGAAACCATTCATATCGTTAGCCAATCTTGCTTCTAACTATAGATATTGTTACCTCCCCTTCGACCACTGCACTGTACTCAAAGATCTGTTCCCTATACTTCCCTGCAACTACCTACCACTCCCACCTACATTCATCATAAACTTCATAGTAATAACCCAAAACTAACAATCCTTACCTCCACAAACGTTAAGCTTGACAAGCAATACTAAGAATTATTAATTTCACATACTCTTTATATTAACAAATCAACCTTACAAGTGCTGTGCACTCCGACGCAGATATTGATTAATTATTTGTTTTAAACTTCCCTCTACTTTCAAGGTATTGTAAAGAGAGCACCGAGCATAATATTGTTAATGTTTTTAGTAGTAGTAGTACCCTAGCTGCTTCTAGACCGCAATGAGTGCCCTCCCCCTTATAAGCTTATAGTTCTACATAACAGTGAATCTTACGCGGCTAACCTAATTATGATTCATGTACCAACGCTACATATTATGCAGTAATGGGAGAGAGAGCAAGGAGGGAGAAAAAGTGAGCCATTCTATGTCACATTAATTGTGGTACGAAACCAACAATTAAACCATTTACTACCGACCAATTTGAAAAACCTTATTTATTTGGCTTTGTCAGTGTTTTGTTGAAACTATACCGAAAAAAGTCCTGTAACTCTTACCGTTTTCTTGATTAAGCAGCTCGGAAATTACACACGCACAGACAGACAGACATACACAGTGTGTCTGTCTGTCTGTCTGTGCGTGTGACCTCTAGATTTTATTATTTTTAAAGATTCTAAGAATCGTAATACAAGGTAGAAAGATAATAATAAGATAAATTTATCGTAAATGTCATTCTACTTAATTGTTGTCAAGGCTCTAACTATCAGTGCACCAATGCAAATGGGTGGTTTCATCACTACTACTACACTACTGACACTATACTACTAGGTTTTTTTTATCATGAAACGATTCATTCGCTCACCAGTTTCGATTGCTTTAATTATTATTTTTTTAATAATAATATGTAAGCTCCGAACTTATTATTCGCTTCAGATGGCTCTGTAGATTTTAAGATGCTCCACCCTCAACTCTCAAGACAAATATATTACTCATGATCGACAAACAGGGCCAGTGATTTATTAGGTGATTACTATGAATAACCTTGCTGGTTGAGCAGATTATTGTCAGATTACGTCTAGCGCAATGATATGGGGACAACTGATTGCTTGAGAGTTGTTGAGTAAATTTTGCAATATTTGATATTGCTTACTACTGCTCTGACAGTACGGGGTGGTGATCCTTCTGTTGACGTGAAATTGCGCTTCACTTTATGAGATATTGGGTAACTGCGCTATCCGGTGGGCGGTGACAAACCTGTTTAACATGGCTACAAGGTATAATATAAGTATCAGTTGTAAGGCATATCTAGCGCTCACTGTTGCGATCTGTTACTATAGCTATAGTGTTTGTCAGTAAGACCCCGGCCCAGCTAGACGGCACGTAACGTGTATCATGACTGTAGACCCAACGTTATACTATAGGGGGTGGAGCAGTTATACTGCAGTAGACCAAACGTTATACTGTTTTCGTTCGTTATTTTACTTCGTTTGTTGTGCAGCATTGATGCAACATACATTTTTTCAAACACCTAAAACTTGGAAGAGAAGAGATAAGTTTTAAACACCTACTATTATATATTATTTGGAAAAGATGGTTGAACAAAGAATTACAACTGATTACAAGACGTCAGATCCGTACCAGTGGGGAATAACACACGAGTGGGCTGATAACATTCTAGCATCCACATTCGTTCCAATTATACTCCTGGGCACCTACGCTAACACTAAATCTGCTGCTTTACTCTTTGTAAACCGACAACACGTTAAGTAAGTATTGCTTCAGACATTTCTTATGTTAAGTAGGTGTTGCTGAGTGCTGACATGGTCATTTCTTTGTCATTTTCCGGGCTTAAAGTTGTAAGATCCGATGAAAGGGTAACTCAAACAGGTTTTGTAAGGTTTTAAGGGGGCAGGGGGGGGGGGGGGGGGTCTTTATGAAAATTTTCCTCGTTTTTTGATGATTTTTCGAGGTCCAAGATTTTCAAAATCGAATAAAAAATTTTTAAAGGCCTATCTCAAAATTCCATCCGGCTTATCTCTTCTAAATGATCCTTTGAACATATCCTGACAGTTTCAGAGTGATTGCTGAAAAATGAAGGAAACGATAGATTTTTAGGGTCCATTTTCAGGACGCGCGTCGCGCGATCAAAAATCCCTTGCGCAATACAATTACACACACGCGCTGACCTTTGACCGACAATAATTTCGACTATGAACAATATTTTTTCATGTGATCAAAAGCATCTAATAGATATCACTGCCCTCTATTAGAAACAACTAACAAGTCGATTTCGAGAAAATTTCCATGAAGACCCCCCCTGCCCCCTTAAGAATGGTAGAGGTCCTGTGGTGACAGATTGAGATAATATATTTCAGTTTGAACGCGTACGTGATCCTCTCCGTAACCCTGTGTGTGAGTGACACCCTCATGCTCCTCCTCACTGGTATCCCCACCACTGTGTCAATGTTCCAGCTGAGGAGACCTATACTTGAACCCTTCTGCACTGTCTCCGGGTGGTTCCTCAACTTTAACCTCCGCTTCTGTTCCTTCATCACCACCTGTATCTGCAGTATGAGGTGTTATGCTGTACTCTACCCGCTACATTTACCTGTCATACCCAAGAAATGTCTCTCACTCATGGTTCTGTTCTGTTCCTTCCTAGCATTCCTTAGTGCTTCACTTCCTTTCTTCTTCTCTAATCTCAGCTACTACCACTACAACCGGCTAATAGGCTTCTGTTACTTCGTCCTGCCCTTCTCCTACTCTGACAACCCCCTCAACTGGTCCCTTACTCTCCTGGTTATAGAGGGAGTCTTTTTCGTTCCTTTCTTCATCTCCATAGTTACCTGCTGTATGATGATCCCAGTGCTATGTAACAAGGGGAACATTGGTTCCATGGGCGGGGTGGAGGAGAGGAATTACAAAGCTATATGGAGTATTTGCAGGATAACACTGTTCACAGTTGCCTGCTTCGCTCCACAGCTCATCTGGGCTGTTATCGACAAAGTGTGCGAGTTTTACTCTGCCAGATGTGGGAAACACGATAGGTTCTGCTGGTAAGATAGGAAGTTTTATCTGCTAGTTACCAGTATGTAATATTATGTATTGTTTGATTGTGCCGTGAAAATAAATATTTGTTTTATTAAATATTTGTTTTATTTTTTGTAAAGAAAATCATATAACTTTATAACTATCATTATTCTACAACTGACAGCGACAAGACGTATGTATTATTTAAGTCGTTGTATTAATGTTCTTAAATTGCGCTTCTGTTATCTCTATTATAGATGCAATATCCAGGTTCTGCTCTAATCTGACAATTGGAACGTATCTCAACTACAGTCTCACTCACCTGCTCATCAACTTCTGCCGAGCTACTGCTAGTCCCTTCGTGGCTAAACTGAGCAGTTACATCCACCAACTCAAGAAGAACAGAGCTGTTGCTTAGACTTTGCTTGAGAGGGTTACTGTGGACAAGATGTGTAGGAAGGTGGTTGTAACTTGTTACATCACAATGTTAAAACCTTATCACAATATCATAATCACTATGTTAAAATTACTGATTTTATAAATAGGGCACCAGATCTTGAGAGTCTATCAGAATTCAGTCTTCGCTGAGTCTATTCAGAATCAATCAGAAACAATCCGAAATGTGAATGAAAGAAACATAAAATCATGAGACTCAATAATAATACACGACTCAATCAGAATGTCTTAAGAGATAAGAGGGGCGTTTACTTTAGAACAGTATGACACATAATCTCCCGCAGGTTATGATAAGGATGTGGTCCCCAAAAGTATGTACGTTTTAGAACTGAAACGTCGTGTCCCAAAAAGATTTTCTGTAATAAATTGAACATTTTAAAATTATGTTATATTTGTATGAAAAGCATTAATAATGCAGACTCATATTTCATATTAGTCTGATGAGTTATGGACAATATAATGAGCGGATTAGAGCTGCATTAAAATAGCGTATCTTTGTCCATTTAAATCACAGCAGTTCAGTGTTGCAATAACATCACTAGAACAATCGATTGAGTAACCTATTAACAGGTTGCTCTGTTTTCAACCTTACAGTACACTTCGTCTTTTGGTCCTGTCATTACGTTAGAAATTTCCATTGCTTGCGGAATAATGATAGTTGTATTACTGTAAATTTCCATTGCTTGAGGAATAATGATGGTTGTTTTATTGTATAAGTTTTGCTGTATCCAAATAATATAGCAGCGCTATAAAAACGTTATGGGTTTAGCAGTCAGTTTATATATAATTGCTGTGCTCATTGTCACGAAGATAATCCGCTATCATCATCGACATTATCATTACTCATCTTCTTTTCAAAGTTTTGAGCGCAGGCACAACGCAGCAACGCTGAACTTGAACCCCTTCTCTCCCATTTCGGTGCTGCAACTACCTTATGAGATTAAAGTACGGAATACCTGACAGAATCGGACGCTATCAGAACATTACACTCCAACAATCAGCCTGATCATAATTTTACCGAATCAGCTAATCGGAACACAGTACCACTAGTGTTCCAACTATTAAAACTTCTCAGTATACAGCTACCGGAATCTGATCTGCTCATCGTTGGATCATTCTTCTAAGTTCAGGGCTCTTCAAAAATAACCAGAAGAAGACGATTCAATCAACGAATTGTGGACTTCAGAGCGAATATTAGAAGTAGAGTGAAACTGTAAGAAACGCGAATATTAAAAAATTATTGAAATATTTTATAATATATTGATATATATATCATATTACAAACATATAATATTATAAACATGTGACTAGCTATCTGACCAGTTATCTGACTAGTTGTCTGCCCAAAACTCTGAGTTTTCCGCCCACTATCTACAATATATGTGTGCAATATCAGGTTACTTTATTTGATGACCGATTAAATAATAATATCTTATTTATGTTCAATGCTGTAGATGTTTATCATGATCAAATAAAAGTGGTAAGTTTAAAATATTTTCTTCTCCAATTTTTCTCTCTCTAAAGTAATCATCTCCAAAATTTCAAATATTAAAAAAGTGAACAAAGTTAAAGTGAATTTTCTGATAGTCTGGCAGGGAGCCAAATTCAGATCAGTTATGGGATGAAACAAAGGATAATAATAGTATAGTCAATAGTGAAATGTTTCTAATATGATAATTGAAAATAAAAATCGTTACAGCTACAATCAGAGAGGTCTAGTAGCAATTCAATTGAAGAAGACGTGGATACGAGATTAATGGTGTAGTAGTGGTAACACTAGAATTTGTGTAGTAACTAGTAGTGGTGTAGTAGTGGTAACACTAGAATTGGTGTTGTAACTAGTAGTGGTGTAGTAGTGGTAACACTAGAATTTGTGTAGTAACTAGTAGTGGTGTAGTAGTGGTAACACTAGAATTGGTGTAGTAACTATTAGTGGTGTACTAGTGGTAACACTAGAATTTGTGTAGTAACTAGTAGTGGTGTAGTAGTGGTAACACTAGAATTGGTGTAGTAACTAGTAGTGGTGTACTAGTGGTAACACTAGAATTGGTGTAGTAACTAGTAGTGGTGTAGTAGTGGTATAGTGCTTTGGCACAGAGTCACAGAGTGGCTTAGGGTTACTGAAAAGGAGATAATTATGTCAAGTCATCCCAACACTGGGAGTGACCTGCTCTTGTTTATTGAAAAAGAAACCAGTCTGAGTCTCTGGAAATGATTTTGAGCCTACGGGGTTTAAAAATGTGTGATTTAAAAAGAAAAAATGGGTATATTTAGCCTTACAAGGCATGATTGTCATTTGGTCCGTGCAACTCGACTAGTTGTAAAGCTAGAACCCAGTACCCAGTACCCAGTACCCAGTACCCAGTACCCAGTACCCAGTACCCAGTACCCAGTACCCAGTACCCAGTACCCAGTACCCAGTACCCAGTACCCAGTACCCAGTACCCAGTACCCAGTACCCAGTACCCAGTACCCAGTACCCAGTACCCGGTCCCCATTACCCGGTACCCGGTACCCAGTACCCAGTACCCAGTACCCAGTACCCAGTACCCAGTACCCAGTACCCAGTACCCAGTACCCAGTACCCAGTACCCGGTCCCCATTACCCAGTACCCAGTACCCAGTACCCAGTACCCAGTACCCAGTACCCAGTACCCAGTACCCAGTACCCAGTACCCAGTACCCAGTACCCAGTACCCAGTACCCAGTACCCAGTACCCGGTCCCCATTACCCAGTACCCAGTACCCAGTACCCAGTACCCAGTACCCAGTACCCAGTACCCAGTACCCAGTACCCAGTACCCAGTACCCAGTACCCAGTACCCAGTACCCAGTACCCAGTACCCAGTACCCAGTACCCAGTACCCAGTACCCAGTACCCGGTACCCGGTACCCAGTACCCGGTACCCGGTACCCAGTACCCGGTACCCAGTACCCGGTACCCGGTACCCAGTACCCGGTACCCGGTACCCAGTACCCAGTACCCAGTACCCAGTACCCAGTACCCAGTACCCAGTACCCAGTACCCGGTACCCGGTAGTCGGTACCCATCTTACCCTACCCTTAAGATACCTTACAGCTACCAGTACCCATCCAGTAATGCGTTCATTTATGACTCATCTCCCCTGATAACACCATCCTCCACTTTATACTTTGATTTCTCCGGCAACCTCCCCCAGGGTTGCCATACCCCAGAGGCAGGCAGATCATCCCCATGCTATCCCTCTATCCCCTTGTAGACCATCCAGGCCCAGCCTCTCTTTAAAATTTTATTAAAAAAAACCTATCTAGTACATAGTAATATAGCTAGTACCCAGTACCCATCTTACAGCTACAGCTAACCCAGTACCCTTCACATATTACGTAGTCATTTTTTGGCCATTTTAAACCCCCCGTAATCAGTTTTGCACATAGCTATTGTGTCAAAATGACACTAGCGTAATCAAAATACTTTTGTTTAGTTAGTTTGTGAACCTTCATTTAATAGAATACTCTACATCAGCATGAAAGAAGAAGGGCCCTATTTGCACAAGAGATCAAACGAAAGGTGAGAACTTTACTTTTTAACTTAAAGTTCTAACTTGTTTAAATTGAGATGTTGTGAGCTTGGAACGTGCTGTAAAGTGTAAAAGTTTAACAACTTTCTATTTTATCTCTCTGTAAAATGTAAATTGTCTCTTTGTACTACTACTTGTTGTTGTAAATTGTCTCGCTGACTGCTCTCATCCCAGATTGAGATATGCCGTTGACGTGTGCCACAAAGCAGTGAATGACGCTTTTAAAATATTCTCCCTGGGTAAAAGACCCTATCATCAGCTGTTTAGTGACGTGTGTCAGGTAACTGCTTTATAACCATGGTAACCATGGTAACCATGTTACATGTATTTTGTACAACTCCTTTACAATATTAGCTATACTGTATTCATTATAATTGAATGACGCTGAAAGAAAAATACAAGTCAGCGTTTTCATGCTTCCATGACTACTTTTAATTGTAATTATATTCATTATAATATCATAATACTTTAGTGAATAATGTTTGTCTAATGTTCAGCCCGGTTACGTTTTCTAATTAATTGTATTTCCTAATTAATTTTAATGCTGGATAGTGTGCCTAATCACCTAATCACATTTATCTCAGGATATAAATGCGCAGTTAGATACACTTAACCTGCTAATACAACCTCTCCTTGAAGCTGCTCCTAAATATGACTTTGAGGTATTTTCACGTTCTCCACTTAGTCTTATCTTGATTTAAATGTTGTAGTGAAAGCCTGCATTTATCATTCAGAGCTGAGGGCGATGATTACAAGTTTCTCCATTTTAATTTTCTACTCCTAATTTTCTAATTACTCAATTACTTTTAACCATCACGTGCCAGGGAGTAGAAGGGAATGGTATAAGAAGCGTGTTAGGAGTGGTTGATAGTATCCTCAAAGAACTGATCTCCCATCTCCAATACTGTAGTGATAAACACAACTCATTCTTCTTTAATGGGTAAAAATATTATACTTTTAACCATCAAATTTATGAAAAGTAAACATAGACGATAACCACAACAATGCTATAGCCCCCCCCCTATAGCCCCCCTCCTGCCATGCCTGTCGCCCAATTTAAGCTCACACAATTTCATATTCTCTTACAGGACAAATTGTGCGGCAAAGTTGGCTCGATTCTGTGCACTTCTTTCAAGACTCGGCAAACTGCTCGACATAGCCACACTCATGCACCAACATCTGGGGTGAGTACTAATTAAGTTAATAACATCTGGGGTGAGTACTAATTAAGTTAATAACATCTGGGATGAGTACTAATTAAAGATTCTGATGATTTTCCGTTTATCTCGGCTTTCTTTGGGAATAGAACGTTGAGTACCTCAATCATATCTTGCGCCATCCTCAGTGAGCTTGTAAGATGGTCATTCAAGAAAAATTCAGTCAAAACAGTGAAATTTGGGTCAAAGGGATGGCAGAAAAGCTTCTCTTTAAAAATCTTCCAAAATCTCTTTTTATATTCTGATGATTTTCAGGATATCTAAGCTTTAATTTGGGAATAGAACTTTGAGTACCTCAATTGCGTCTCGTGTCATCCTCAGTGACCTTGTAAGATGGTCATTCAAGAAAAATTCAGTCAAAACAGTGAAATTTGGGTCGTGGAAAGCTGAAATATGAAAATGTCCTACCGGTAGGACATATTCAAAATCTTCATTGCATCAAAGTTTTCTCCGGATATACTGCTTCCAATAGCTTGATGACGACTTGTGTCACTCTCACCGACCTCACTGATTGGTCAATGGTCATTGGTCAAAAATTCAGTCAAAACCGCGAAATGTCGGTCAAGGGGATGGCAGAAAAGCTTCTCTTCAAAAATCTTCCAAAATCTCTTTTTATATTCTGATGATTTTCAGTGTATCTAAGCTTTCTTTAGAAGTTTATGTGGAATTAAGGCGGCATTAAATTCACGTTGACTTTTACGATTAACTTGGAAGGGTGTTATATACTTATTATTATACTTATGATTGATGATTAACCATATTATATATTTAGGGGTTTATGACGTAAATCAACCGGACTTTTACTGAATCTTACAAAAACAGCTAATTTAAAATTGATTATCACACAACTCTTAATAAGTTGCTCCAAAGTAACCCAATAAGGACTAGCCTAGTGAGATGATAATAAATCTACTATTAGATAAACTGAGAGTATATAATGTAATTAACCATATATTTGAACTGCTTTCAAGTCTTATATATTTGTAAGTGTGAAGTGTTAGATGCGTCAAACTTAAAAATTAAAAGAACATTAAAAATGAATATCAAAACTCTAATAAGTAGTCACTAGTCTTATTATTGAGCAATTAATTGCTGTCCCAAAGTGCCTGTAAGGATCATAATAAAACAGGCTTCTCCCAATAATCACACTTACATAATAATAATAAGAAGGAAATACCTACAAAGAAGCAATAACATGATTTAACCAAAGATTGGAACAAACCTGCTTATTGCTTAACACTACCAGACTGCAGCTGGATTGACAATGATTAAAATGTAAACATTTGTAAAATGCATTTTAGCTAACTCAAAACACGGCGCGGCGTGGGACCAAAATGACAATGCCCGCCCCCGGCCCTGCCCACCCTCCCCCCTCCCTTTTGGGTTCTAGTATGATAAACAATAAAGTATAAACATGACTCTGTAACTCGTGTCCCATACCTTTGGGCTCCAGAATGTGGGTCCCACCCTAGCTCTAAATTTCTACTACTACCTCTGTTCTTGCTTATATTTCTAACCTTTTTCAGAACCGTCACCTTCATAAAAAACTTTATCACTCTCATAAAAACTAGGAAACGTGGCACAGAAAGTGAATTTAACATCAATAAACTTTCAAGCTGGAGTTTCTTCATTTCTGGAGGTCTTCTTTTCCATAACATGTCTCCCCGTATCGTAACCTTAGGAAGAAATATTTCGTTAGCAATTATTAAATCATTTGTTAATTTATCAAAACAATGTTAAAAATTCGATTTAATTTTCCGCTATGGCGAGATTGAAAGTAAAGCTCTGTTTGTTCACCTGCAGCTGATAGCTTGGTTGATAAAGGTTGCAAGGGTGCTGGTTCAACACGCATGACTTTCGAGAGGAGGAATTTGCGGAAACTTTTAACAGTAAGAGTGTAGATAAAGAAATTAGAGGTGATGTTTACAGTCAGCAGGAAGTAGCTTATTCTAGCGTAACGGACATCAAACCATTCCGGCTGATCTTCGTCGATAAGGCAGACGATTTTATAAACGATGTAGGGTAAAATGGAGATGCAGTAAACAACGGAGGTGAGGGTCACAGTCAGGGCCCCTTGCCATGGAACACTTCCTCTTGCTTGTTTTGCAGATTTCACCGCTCCAGTTAGATACCTCAAAGTAGGCACTGTAGCTCCAACTATAACTATAATAGGGACAACCGGACAGATAAAGTATAGTATTGGCATTATCTGTTTCCATGCAGGAGCAGTGAACCCATACTCACATACATAGAATCTGTAGTCAAAGTAAACATCATCCTTGTCTACTACGAGAAAGAGGAGTGCTACAGAGAGGGAAAATAACCAAAAGATACTGCAGACGGGGAAACTTTAGTTTGAAATCCATGTGGAGGGGGGAAATGGTAGAGGAGCTTGGGTAGTGACATTGAATGGGCAAACAAGCGGGAAACAAGGGTAACAAAAAAACCCTAGTAGCAAGCACCCCCCCAGGACCCGGAAATGCTACCAAATGGAAAAGCTTTATAGGGGCCCCCAAAAAAGCGCTAGCTAATCTGATACTGCTATTTGCGGGGGATCACTGTCACTATATTTTTGTTTTTGAAAGCGTTTTTTTCGGAAAGCTTAGGAAGAAAAAACCTCCAAATTTAAGGGAGTTAAAGGGTCCCAAATTAGAATATTGAAATAACAATCCCCACTTGTTGTTATCCCAAATTTTAACGTACGAAGTGATCCGCGAAATATTGGTCAAATCTTGCCCTTAGGTGTAAACAGGTTAGATGCAAGACAACGGGAAAACTTTTGCAGGGTGCAAAAATTTTTACCGGCTATGGAGCACGAGTAGGGGAAAAACCACTAATTCAAGAAGCAGCAATTTGACCAAAAATAACCTAAACAGATCCTCAATAAACTGACTTTAAGTTTAAAATTCGTTTTAAAGCGGAAAAAACAAGCCAATTTGGGCTTTGCCCTTGATTTAAAAAAAAAAAATTGATATCAAAAACAAAAATACAACCCGACCTGATCCAAACCCCTCTTGTATTTGCCTGAAAAACAGCTGTGGGCCCCTTTTCCATGGTACATTAGTTTTAAACAGTTTAGTATAACCCTCTCCCCCTAGATAAGGATTGTTATTGGGGACTTAAAAAACAAAGCTGTTTTTTGCTGTATAATTGAAATTTAAAGAGGAGAGAGAGGGAGGGAGAGCTGAATCCAAAGTTTAGCTTAATACAAAAAAAAAAACAAGCCCTCCTTATCGAGAAAAAATTTTTTAACAATGGGCACTTTAAAGTAAAAATTAAAAAATCCAAACAGATTACTTTTTTTTTAAAAAAATTTAAAAAATTAAAAATTTAATAATACGTCAGTCAAAAAAGGGCACAAATTAAGAAATTTTTTTCCTTTCATTTTGTTTACTCTTAATTTTCTGTAATTAATAATAAATTTGTTGCGATGATAATTTTAAAAAACCGGCTGGCTTCAGAAAGCACAGATATCAGCCCCCAAGGGTTTTGGGCATTCTTTGGGGATTTTCCGAAAAAAAAGTACAAAAACACATTATGGCCCCCATCAAATGGGCCACTACAAAAAGAATGACAAAAAAGTTTAAGTTCCCCTTTTGATGATATTAGGGAGAGTAAAATTTAAAATTTTTAAATGTTGCAGAACAAGTGTAAACAATTGTTTGGAGCTGCAAAAAAGGGTTTGAAATCATTTTAAGGAATAATATGAGAGAGAACGCAATTTTTTGGGCGATTTTATATGGGGAAAAAAGGGGGTCTAAGTAAATTATTAAAAAAAATGAAAAAATTTGGGGAGGCCACCAAAAACAAAATTTTTTAAACTTACGGGATTCAATTTGTCCTTTTTCATTTAAATCTGTTAGATTTCCACTCCCATTTACAAAATTTTAATTCAAAAAACGACAATTAACCATAAACCCCCTCCGAGGTAAAGGATACCCCCAAAGTTTCTAACCCAGGGGGCCCGTGATGAAGAGTTTGGGGGGATACCCTGAGGCTTCTACGGCATTGGTGGGTTACACTACACCCTTCACGGAAGAAAAAGGATAAAAAATTTTATCTTTAAAATTATAAAAATATTATCATTCAAACACCCCAAATAAAAAAAACCAAAAGTATGGTATTCCGCTTTTTGTGTGTGTGCGAGTGATGATGCCCAGTTCATCGAGGACAATAAAGGTGTTCATCTACAAAATTAAGATTGTTGTTATGAACGGGACAAGGAAAAACAACCAAAACGCCCGTCAGGGAAAATATTTTTAACTTTCGGTGATCATCTCCCATCCTCACTACTCTTTCTAAACCACCCCACAAATGCCAATAAGGGGTTTCTACACCAAACAAGCACCCTTGTAGTTACTACTACCAATCAACTTAAAATTCGTGCTGAAACACCTTTAAAAATTCTTCAAAAAAAAAAAGTTATATCAGTGCAGTGTTTCCCCAAGTTTTAAGGGGCTCCATTACCGGGGAAACCAGTTACCGGTTTCCCCATTACCATTTACCAGGTTACCGGGGTTACAAGGTTTTACCAGGTTACCAGGTTACCATTTAATAGTAAAAGTAATTGGGCCCCCTGACAATCAGGAGACAAGAAACTTTTTCCCTATACAGTATATACTCTAAGGGAAGTAGCTAAGAAACTATTTAATAGTAAGTATAACCAAAAAAAAAAATTAAACAATTATTTAAAAAAAAACAAAAACCAAGGGATAGCTAAAAAATTATATGTAAAAACAGAATATACAACAAATTGGCATCTATTTTTAAGGTTCAAAAATTTTTAATTCTAAAAATAAAACCCAACCAGGTATAGTGTGGCCTTTCCAGCACTGAATTGGTTACAAAACAAGACCAACCTCTGGGACGCCCAACTTGTTGGGGAGGACTGCAGTTCTTTAGTGAGCTAAGAAAGTAATAAATTAAATTTTTAAATTTCTGAAAACAAATGTTTAATATGATTTTTTTAAAAATGGCAGTTACTATTTCCCCCACTTTTTAAAAATCACGGCCCGAAAAAAAATTTTTTTTGAAATAAAAATTGCATTTTATAACAAACATGAAATAAAAAGTAAGTATTAATTAATGCTAAATGTGTAGTTTTCGGGTTTTCAAAAAAAGAGAGCGGTCCAAAAAGTTTGTGGAAAGGGACCCACAACTGTGCATCATTATTCCAAAGGGCTTGGGGAACCTGGTGGATAAGGGCCCCCTTTAGGGGAAGGAGAGGGGGAGGGGAGGGCGGGGGGGGGGGGGGGGGGGGGCGGGCGGGGAAGGGGGGGGGGGGGGGGTAAGATAATCATTAACCGAGCGGTAAGAGAGAGGCATTAACCTAGGGGGAGGGGGAGGCATTAACCGACCTGTAAAATTACTATTTAGTAGTTCCCTCCCCTATTTCTAATAGTTTTTGGATACTTTAGATTTGTTAAAATTTAACTTTGCTCAATTCAGGAGGTCCCAAGAATGGTGAATAAAGAAGTTGATATCGCAGTAGAGATCTACATTGAAGGTTATTAATAAACGTAGCTTGCTAGGTTCGCCATGTTGTAATTAAGATATGCACTGATATTCATTGTACTGGCTGTAAATCGAACTTCTTGCTTCATAAATCTCTAAAAGTATAAATAAAGTTTCTGTCTATAGCAAAAATGATCTATTATATATTATAGATCATTGTAATATAGATATATTTTTTGTAAACCTCGTAAACCGTTATATAATTATATATTATAGATCATTGTAATATAGATCTATTTTTTGTAAACCTTGTAAACCGTGTAAACCTTGTAGAGATGATTTCCGCAACAAACTCTCTTCTGTGTTAACCACTGTGTTAACCACTGTGTTAACCACTGTGTTAACCACTGTGTTAACCATGACTGTGTTAACCACTGTCACACTGTGTTAACCACTGTGTTAACCACTGTGATAACCACTGTGTTAACCACTGTGTTAACCACTGTGATAACCACTGTGTTAACCACTGTGTTAACCACTGTGTTAACCACTGTGTTAACCACTGTGTTAACCACTGTCACACTGTGTTAACCACTGTGTTAACCCCTCCATGCTAACATTACGCATTACTCTCAGGTGAGCCGCTATACGTTAGAAACAAGTATAACCAGATGATCCTAATGCACCCCCCAGTTGGTAACAAGGGTCACGCTGGAGTAACTGTTGGGTTCCTATCCTCCCGGTTTAGAGAGGGCCAGGTCTGTGGGCTTTATTATTTTATTTTCATATTTTTATAAGTTTATATTTTGTTATACTGATTTTATTGTAAGTACCTCAAGTGTAAGTTTACTTTCTTTACTTACATTATTTTCCGTTCTGTAACATTATATATTGTATGTACCGTGTACCGCGTGCGCCTGTGAAAGGTATAATTTCCAGACTATTGATAACGTTGTTATTAAATATTAATAGGAACGACTGCTAGAGACTAAATTCCACTCCAAAGTGAGCATGAAAATTAGAATAGAGTGAACGTTTCTCTTCTTAAAAATAGAGTGAAAATAGATTGAATATAGTGTGAATGTTTCTCTTCTTATCCTCAAAAACTCAATGCCTGTTCATCTTCTTATTTTCAGATATTGAATGCTTTGTTTACCTTGCTAACCTCTGATATTTAGTACTTTTTTTATCTGGTACACGTACCCTAGTTCGACACGTACCCTAGTTCAACAAACCATAAAGTACGACTCTGTCAAACTAGAGTACGCTACCCGGACTCTAGTTCGACACATACTGAAGTTTGACAGGACAATTATTCATATTCTCTCAGGTAGCAGCTCCACCCTCACTAGACCCTGACATACCCCCTCCGTCTCGTTTCCCTAAAAGTAAACGACTTCTTGTTCACTTCCATGGCGGAGGGTTCGTCTCTGGGAGCCACGTTCAGCACGAGGTTTGTGGTAATTTAGTATTAATATAATATTATATCAATGACCGTCCTTACCCTGATCAGAGAATCGAGTCATAGACTACTGCAGTATCTGGACTGCAGTATCTGTAGTTATAGTAGTATGTATTAATTGGACTGTTACTCCTAACTAAAACTCACTGAAGTAGTTATAGTAGTATGTATTAATTGGACTGTTACTCCTAACTAAAACTCACTGAAGTAGCTTTAGTAGTATGTATTAATTGGACTGTTACTCCTAACTAAAACTCACTGAAGTAGCTGTAGTAGTATGTATTAATTGGACTGTTACTCCTAACTAAAACTCACTGAAGTAGCTTTAGTAGCATGTATTAATTGGACTGTTACTCCTAACTAAAACTCACTGAAGTAGCTTTAGTAGTATGTATTAATTGGACTGTTACTCCTAACTGAAACTCACTGAAGTAGCTGTAGTAGTATGTATTAATTGGACTGTTACTCCTAACTGAACTCCTGAAGAGCTTATAGTATGATTAATTGTACTGTTCCCCAACAAAAAACCCCCGAAGTACTTATATATGTATTAAAGGGCGGTACTCCTAACAAACCATGAATAGCGCAGTATAGTATTATTAATTTTTATGTTCTCCTAACTAAAAACCACTGAAGTTGTTTTTAAATATTATTAATGGGCTTTAAAACCCCAACTGAAAAATCCGAAATTTGTGTATAGTAGATTAAATTGGGCTGTTACTCTAACCCAAAAAAAAAATCACTGCAGTATCGGGCTAATCTGTAGTAGAGTATTTTAAAGGGTTTTTCTCCTAACAAAACCCCTGAAGTACTTTAGTTATTATTAAAAAGACGTCCCTAACAAAAAACCCCGATAGCTTTATAAATTAATTTAAATTTTACTGTTACCCAACAAAAACCACTGAATACGAAATAGATGAAATTGGGCGTTAAACCCTAACAAAACCACGAATGCTTTTGTAGTAGATTAATTGGACTGTCCCTAATAAAATCCTGAAGTAGCTTGTTTTTAGTATGATTAAAATTGGGGGATGTTATTCCTAACTAAAACCACTAAGTTTTGCCCCTTTTAAAGTAAAAATTTTAGACCCAACAAAAAAACCCCGAAGTACTGTAAATATTTTAAAAAATTGGAGTTTACTCCAAAAGAAACTCACAATTAGCTTTGTGTAAGAAAATTAATGGACTTTACCCCAACTAAAAAAACGCAGTAGGGGCTGAAAGCTTATTATTATGATTAATTGGGTGTTACCCTAATAAAATATGAAAGGTGTTGGTATTTAAAGGTCTGTTTAAATCCTAACCTAAAAACCAAATTGCAGAGCTTTTGTAGTATGAAAAATTGGACTTTTCTCTAACTGAAACTCACTGAATTATGAAAAGTATTTATTAATTTACGTTCCCTAAGAAACTCACTAATTAGCTTAAAAAAAATTATGAAAACCCCAACAAAAAAAAAGCAGTAACGGGCTGAAAAGCGAATTTAAAAAAATTGGGCCGACCCCAAAACAAAACCACTGAATAGCTGAGTAAAATGATTTAAAGTACTGTTACCCAACAAAAAACCCCCGAAGGCGATAGTATAATTAAAAGGACTGTTACCCCCAAAAATGAAACCACTGAATTGCTTATTTTAAGAAATTTGGACTTTTACTCCAACAAAACCCAGGCAGTATCGGACGAAGTAGGAGAGTAAAAAAATTTAAAGGACGTTACCCAACAAAACTCACAAATAGCTTTATTTTTAATTTAAAATGTTACTCCTAAAAAAACCAAAAATACGTAGAGGAAAGATAAAAAGGGGTGTTTCTCCTAAAGAAACCGCGAATTAGCTGATAGAAAAAAATGGACGGTTACCAACTAACCAAATACTTTTAAAAACATTATTAATTTGGGCTTTTCCAACTAAAACTCACGGAAATACTTTGTAGTAGATTAAGGACGTTACTCCAACTGAAACCACGAAGAATTTATGATGATTAATGGGGTGTTACTCCAAAGAAACTCACGAAGTACTAGGGAGTAGTATTTTTGACGTTACCCAAAAAAAACTCACTGAAGAAAAGGAGTAAGGAAAAAATTTTTGGGCCTTTTTTCCTAACAAAACCACTGGAAGGGTTCGGATTTGTAAATTGTACTTTAAATCCTAAATAAAACTCATGAATTTCTGTTAAAATGTTTAATTGGGCTGTTACTCCAACTGAAATCACTAATTAGCTGTATAGTATGAAAATTTTGGGCGTTACCCTAACAAAACTCACTGCGTTCGGACGAAGTAGCTTTGAAATATTAATTAATTTGGGGGCGTTTCCCTAACTAAAAAACCCCTGAAGTAGCTTAGTATATGATATTTAAAAGGATGTTACCCTAAAAAACCACTGAAATAGCTGTAGTATAGTAATGGGGGTGACTCCCAACTAAAACCACTGAAGTAGCTGTAGAATATGTATTAATTGGACTTTACTCCTAACTAAAAAATACTAAGAGCTTTAGTATTTTGTAGCTGTAGTAAGTATGTATTAATTGGACTGTTACTCCTAACTGAAACTCACTGAATTAGCTGTAGTAGTATGTATTAATTGGACGGTTACTCCTAACTGAAACTCACTGAAGTAGCTGTAGTAGTATGTATTAATTGGACTGTTACTCCTAACTGAAACTCACTGAATTATCTGTAGTAGTATGTATTAATTGGACTGTTACTCCTAACTAAAACTCACTGAAGTAGCTGTAGTAGTATGTATTAATTGTACTGTTACTCCTAACTAAAACTCACTGAAGTAGCTGTAGTAGTATGTATTAATTGGACTGTTACTCCTAACTGAAACTCACTGAATTAGCTGTAGTAGTATGTATTAATTGGACGGTTACTCCTAACTGAAACTCACTGAAGTAGCTGTAGTAGTATGTATTAATTGGACTGTTACTCCTAACTGAAACTCACTGAAGTAGCTGTAGTAGTATGTATTAATTGGACTGTTACTCCTAACTAAAACTCACTGAAGTAGCTGTAGTAGTATGTATTAATTGGACTGTTACTCCTAACTAAAACTCACTGAAGCAAGTGGCCAGGTGTATGAGTATTGTGTTTCATTCTCTGAATACTAACCATCTTACTGCTCATTGTAACGTACACATAGTAGCTTAGTAACGTACATGAGATATTGTAGTATACACAGAGCTACTTTATAATCTACACTAGTAATCCTGATAACCCTGCTATTAAGGGGGGGGGGGGGGGGGTATACACTGAACATATTACATACTAAGAAACGTAGCTGCTACACCAGCTGATATTATAACGGTGTGGTGAGATCTACTTTTGTAATTATCAGTAACATGAGAAGCAGTCCTGTAGTCGGCTGTAGTGGACTATAATATAGTCCCACATCCAGACAGTTTTAAATTTCCTCGCAGATCAATACCCTTCCCCCACCCCCCCCCCCCCCCCCAATATATTATTTAATTATTTAAAATATTAATTAATGCTAAAAATGGTCAGCTCTTCTAAACAATTCCTCTTTGTCACCAAATTTCTTCCAAAATCCAAATTTTATCTGACGTCTTTCTGGATGTGGGCTTATAGTGGACTATACATTATATTGTAGTTGTCACTGCAATCCCAATATTAGAAACTAGCAGCCCTCTTACATAGCACATTACCAATATTAGAAACCCTCTCGTGCTGTATAACATAACCACTATGTATAAATAAAAAGAGATTTTGGAAGATTTTTGAAGAGGAGCTTTTCTGCCCTTGACCGAAATTTCGCAGTTTTGACTGAATATTTGACCAGTAACCAATCAGTGAGGTCGATGAGAGTGACAAGTCGCCATCAAGGTACTGGAAGCTGTATATCCGGAGAAAACTTTGATGCAATGAAAATTTTGAATATGACCTACCGGTAGGACATTTTCAAATTTCAGCTTTCCGTGACCCAAATTTCACTGTTTTGACTGACTTTTTCTTGAATGACCATCTAGCAAGGTCACTGAGGATGGAACAAGACACGATTGTGGTACTGAAAGTTTTCTTACCAAATAAATATGTATAATATAGCATGTTCTGTACTGCTACTATTTCTCGCTCCATAATGGTATTCTTCCATGGAAATATACTGTGTGTGAAATAATGAAACAGCAGATCCCACAGATCATTAAATATATGCCGGGGGGAGATCATACACTTAGTACCGGACATCACGTTGGTGGGTGGGTCATTTTTTCTTCTAAAAACACAGTTAGTACATGGTACTAACTGGTGGATCTACTGCCCATTTTCCAGAAAAACAGTTAGTACATGGTACTATAGGGGGTGTCTAACCCCAAAAAAATCCATTTTACCTCAAATTTCAATTTTGGGAATGGGTTTTGAGGTTTTTAAAAGTTTTTTTTGGGTTTTTTTTTATTTTTAAAATTTTGAAAAGTCTTCCTTTAAAGTTTAAATGAGATCCTTAAAAAAAAGCAATTTCTGGGTGGGTATCTTATTCTATATACCAAAAAACAGTTAGTACCACGATTTTTCAACAGTTAGTACCGCAAAAGGCGGCAAAAGGGGTGGGTGTCTTACGTATTATCCAAAAAACAGTTAGTACCGCAAAGGGGGTGGGTGGGTCTAGTGAAAAATATCCAAAACTACACTTAGTCGACGTGATGTCCTGCACTTGGTACCTGATCCCCCCCCCCCCCCCCCCCCCCCCCCCCCGTATATGCAGGGATAACAATAAATCTAATTGCATTTAAAAGTGTCTGCTGACCTATATAATAAGTATCTAGATTCTAGATGAAGGGTCTGCAGAGTGCAGATTCTGGGTATCTCAGTCTACTCAATTCTCTAAAAATAATCAAATAAACTAAGTGTATAATATCATTACGTACAGATCGAACTATATTATATTATATAAGTTTATGATACAGATCGTTTGTGAATATTTTTCCGCTCACAAATTACGAAGCATTTAATTTGCTCGAAATTAACATCTTGTAAAGTTGTACTCGATCCCAGGGGTCTACTGACTACTGACTAGTGACTATAACTACTCATAGTCTCGGTATATTTCAACGGTATATTTCAACTTGTTTCGACCCGTCCTGGGCCATTGCTTGCAGGCCAGTTTGGTTTCAAGGTCTTATCTTACTTAATTTTTGATGAATTTTGATATGAGATTTTGATGTTTTTTGTGATTTACAGCTGTTTACACTACAAAATATTGAGAATAGTTTCACCGGGTCGAATCTTAGAGTTATTGCTGTCATAAAAACATGTACGCCGGAAGTTTCGAAAGTGGGTGTAGTGGATGGTAGCGAGGGTGGAAGTAGATATCAGCTACTTTAGCCCATCTTCCAATGTTGGGGGCTACAAGAAGGGACCACTACATGTGGGAGCATAACATGGGTCCTCTCTGGTATTGTTGGTAGTGCTAACTCTTCACATAATAGAGCAACATTAAGATCACATTTTACACGTCTTAATGAATAGTGAGCATAATATGAATGTGAGCATAAGGTTTAAAACACTGAGTAGCATCGTACAAAGAACATGTAAAGATAGGTAAAGATCTCACTGGGATTCACGTTACATCTGAAGATCTTTCTTTGTTTTTAAATTAAATTAGCGCGGATCGTGTGAAGCTGCAAAGTTTAAAGTCTAAGTCGGATTGTGGTTGGTTTTCAGATGTTGGTTGGCAATAACAATAGTGCTTTAAAATAACAATATATCTGCTTGATAACGGAGTGAAATTTGTCGCTGAAAGTAGTTGTTCCTTGTTCAGCAGCCAGCGAGTGTTTGATCAGTTTAAGCGCTAGTTGACCACGTACTGTTAGTAGTATTAGTAACACATTAATTCACAGTAAATCTTGGTGTTGTTATACCTTGCTGACGTAGTCACGTTCGTGTATCACATGATCTACAAACTTCGATATGACTTATCTATAACATTATAATATTATATACTAATTAATGCTTTTCAAACAAAGTTACATCGAATTCTTCATGTAGTGCCCGCTTTATGTGTAAACATAATATTATCATATACACAATACGATGTGCTTCTACCGTTCAAGCACATCGTATTGTGCTGGGGTAGAATTACACAGAAGATTTCTGCTTTTATTTAATGTGGTGTAATGTCAATAATGAAACTTTATCCCCATTGTTCAATTTCATATTAACGTTTCATGCGACATGCAAGGCAGTGCATCTTAACAGCTTAACTGGCGGTTTTTCACTATTTTATCATGGACATAATGCTCGTAAATTTGATATTTACTTTATTTTACTGACTAATAAGTAATACAAATATTTCCCATATTTAGCACAAATTCACACGTTTGTTCGTGATTACGCCTCACCATCCTGTCTGTATTTGAACCTTGATACATACAATGGGAGAATCATTCGACAATTCTGCCATACAGTTAATGAATCAGGACTTCAAGAAGAAAGAACCTCTATCGCTTGAAGATATAGTCGATAGAATCGTGCCTAGGTTGAACTTGAAGCTTTTTCTACTGTTTCTGAGTGCTCTCTCTACTATTTTTCACGCAGCTGCGGTGACATATGTAACGGCCCTCGCTGGAAATATACCCTACAAGGATTGGGAATGTGTTTCAGATAGCTGTGAGGCTCTCTTTAACAACGCATCTGCAGCCGGATTGGAGAAGGACTTCTTCTCGCAGAACACGGTCTGCGGAAATAATTTGGTAGCTGCCACCGATTTTAATTGGACGACGCAAAAGACAACTTTCACGACGGATTGGAACATATACTGCAAGTACGAGGCCAAGTTGTCCCTCATTTCTAGTATCTACTTCGTAGGAGCTCTGCTTGGTTTGTTGTGTTCAACAGCTATATTTGATAGAATAGGGCGGAAGAGAGGCGCCCTGGTGGGCTGTGTGTTGATCACCATGGGAACAGCTGCCAGCTCAGCAGCCCCCAACTACCAGACACTGCTAGTCCTGAGGGTCATATCAGGGTTCGGGCTCCTGATCAACTACACCGGCTCCTACTGCTGGATCATAGAGTTTGCACCCACTCACCTCAGGAACCTGGTTAGTGGGTGCTACAACCTGGGGTGGACCCTGAGTTACCTGATAATGGTCATGCTAGGGTACCTTATAGACAAGTGGGAACATCTTTACCTGGCTGTGAGTGGGCTTTGCGTTTTTAGTTTAGCCATGTTCTTCATCACTCCGCTTCCTGAGTCTCCTCGCTTTCATCTGGTCAGAGGACGGGACAGTGAGGCAAAGAAAACCTTAGAATATCTGTCCAAGATCAGTGGGCACCCAATTTCTTTTGACACAATTCATCTTGTATACGATAAGAGAATACAGAACTACTTGAAGCAGGTTAAAGACTTCATGAAATATCGGAGCATGCTGAAGAGAACCCTTCTCTGTATGGTTGGTTGGTTTCTAGTGGCCCTGATAACCTACGCGTACACGTTCGGGTGGAGTAAGATAGGTACTGATCTGTACACCAGCTACATGTTCGCTGCACTGGGTGGGGGTCTCGGATACATTCTCTCTATCCTTGTCTGTCGGGTTCTCGGGAGAAAGCAAGCAACGCTATTCTTCTTTGGTTCTGTTGCAGTGATGAACCTCATTGCCATGCTGGATGTAAAACTCTCGGACACGTGGACTTTAGAGCACGTGGCGAGTTTGCTGGGGAATGTTGGTATTCTAGGAGCGTTTGCCATGTTGTATCTCTACACCGGGGAACTAGCTCCCACTTCACATCGAGGTATGGTCATGTGTATCAGCTCCAGCTGTGCTAGAGTCGGCAGCTTTATCGGCCCGTATGTGAGCTTGCTGTATGGGGTGACTGATAGGAAGATCCCTCTGGCTCTATTTGCTGGTCTGTCCGTCTGTGCGTTTGTGGCGATCTTGTTCCTTCCGGATACTACTGGAGTTGGGATACCAGAAACACCAAAAGATATTGAGATTGATCGCGAAGGAAAGGAAGGGTTTGATGAATTAAAAGACATTTCTGATGGTGAAACTAGAATCCCATAAACTGGAGAAAATTATTAATTTCAACGTCAAGATTTTCAATGACCCTTAAACGATGTAACTGTAAGACTTGTTACGAACTGGTTCTAACATGTAATTGTAATTGTAACTGTGTAAGTCGTAGGTGAACCCTCAAACCTCAATGTTTTAGACTTGTACGCTGTTGTTTTAACTTATTTGTATCTAGAACTTTTCAGAAGTCCCTCTCCGCCTCAGACAGGGCCTTCTGAACCCGACCCATCTCAGATCCATGATAATTACTGTTATTTTAACTTATTTGTATGTATTGTACTTATTCATGACATAACAATTTTATTGGTCTAAATTTCAAATGTTTTCCTTATTCATTATCAAAAGTACTAATTTGTAATATGGTAGAAATGAAGCTCACTTATAACTTTATAATAGGAAATTACTCGAACTACTCCACATTCAACGAATTCGGAAATATTAACACACTACTTTATATCCTCTCTACATATAAAATCAAAATCTATAAGATGATTGTCCCAGGCGTATCTGCGAGGTTGGTGTAGAGAGTTAGACGCAGTGGTTGTCTCTATAAACTACGCTCTTGCTCCGGACAACCCTTTTCCTAAAGGACTGGACGATTGTATCTTCGCTTACGCGTGGTGTTTAGAGAATCTTCATACTCTGGGTGAGTGCTAAATGTTGCTTGTTACTGGAAATGTGGTAAAAGTTCACGTTCTTCAAGTTTAAGGATGAATACTAAACAGTGAAATCTGTGTTAGCTGTGTGAACTGTGTAAACTGTGTAAACTGATTAAACTGTGTAAAATATGTAAACTGTGTAAACTGTGTAAACTGAGTAAACTGTGTAAACTGAGTAAACTGTGTAAACGTGGGCTCCCTGTAAACTTCTTTATCTGTTGTAATATTCAGTAAAGTAGTAATAATATACTTTATAATACATACTTTAAATAATGTTCGTCACACCTAGCACGTGTCTGATAGCACACTGTAGGAGGGGGGGGGGGGAGGCAGCAGGTGCACAGTATATTATATCATGATATGTCAGCAGTGTGTAAGTTATGAGAACACTATTATGTACTATTATATGTACTACTGAGTATACCTGTACCTTAAAAGAGATCAAATTATGTTACACAGGGTGACATAGGTAGCGGGTAGCCAACATTATTAAGGTGATTTTAAGAATCTCACAGATCAGGTGTCTCTCATATACCTTGTATTGTAATCATTAACTGTTACCCAGGATGTACGGGCAAGAGTATCGTGTTTATGGGGGACTCAGCAGGAGGTAACCTAGCTATAGCCACAGCTATGAGGGCTAATAGTTACGGATTGAGACCACCTGATGGAATACTAGCTGCTTACCCTGTTACTTACGTCAAATACGCAGGTTTGTGTACTACTATACAGGTTAATAGTGTGGTGTTGTAATAGTGTGGTGGGGTGGTTCTTTCCAATCTTGCAATAATTTTGAAGCAATTCGAGGCTAAACTCACTGTCAAATTACTGCAAGATTACATGCTTTGTTAACACATGGCTTTGTTACATTTCGAAATTCCAGTAGGACTATAATTAGTCCGCCAAAATAAGGGACTCCATCAAATGTAGAATGTGGAGTGAAGAAAATGTCACACTTTCACAATACACAGCGAGTTAATTGACAAATTAGTAATTAGCACTTGAACGTCCGGGAATCCTGAACCTGTCCGGCATATTTGCTCAACCTATTATCCTAGCCCCAATTAACATTATAATTACCAGGGTCGGTGTCCCGTCTCCTCAGTACACTAGACATTCTTCTCCCCTCCGGTGTATTACAGTGCTGTCTCCGTGCCTACTCTGGAGTTCCAGTTGACAGTAATAATGGGTTCTGTGAGTGGATGCAGACGGCGCATCATCCTACACTTCCTCAGAAAACAGACAACCATCAGGTTAGTTGGGGGGGGGGGGGGGGGGTTTAAGCTCACCATTTCGGTCGTATACATTTTGTTCTACATAATTTGGTTAACTCAGCTCTATTTTACAGCCTATGCATGTTGTCTAGTATATAAGTTCACATTTTTCAGCTTACTTATTTTCAGACGATATCGGAGCTGAACTCTAAATACATCAGTGATATCTGTGGCAAGATGCCCAAATACACGATCCCAGCCGCTGCTGAGATGCCCTCTTTCAGTACCCCAGATACCACACCTGAACCAGTGGGTCCCACACCCCAACCAGATACCACACCTGAACCAGTGGGTCCCACACCACAACCAGATACTACATATGCCATCACTACCCCTGATTCTTCCCCTGATCCACTTGCTACTACCTCTGTGGATTACACTACTTCACCTGAAAATCATATCCCGTCTGATTCAAATATATCTCCATCAGATGATGTTACCATAGAATTACCTATCCTCAGTTCAGATCCAACTCTAGTGATTGAAGAAACGACTGTTTCTAAAGTTGAACAATTTAATTTTAGTTCTGTTCAAGACGATTATGAAGGAGTTGACTCTGAGGATGAGGTGGTTGAGCTGGATACGATCAGGATAAACCCTATTGTATTCGACAATACTCTGACCAATAGTCCGGGCTATAACACGTTTAATAGTGATATCGTAGTTGAACATGAAGTAGTGGCTGATGCTGAAGATAGGATTATTATAAATGAAAGTTACGACAACATTGCGAACTCTGTTGTAGAGGGTGACATTAATGATATCGTATCAGAGAGTCACACAGCCCTAGATGCAGATAGTAATTCTTGTGAAAATAGTGGACTTGTAATTGAAGCCCATTCCAGCTATGTCCTTCTTGATGAACAAAAAGAAGGGAAAATTAACGAATCAGATAATGGTCATGTCGAAATGGAGACTGAAAATTCGGAACAAGTTGTTGAGAATAAAAAATCAGAACAAGTTGTTGAGGATGAACATCCGGAACATGCTGTTGAGGATGAACAGGCAGAACAAGTTGCTGAAAATGAACTGTCGGAACAAGTTGTTGAGAATGAACATCCGGAACAAGTTGTTGAGAATGAACATCCGGAACAAGTTGTTGAGAATGGAGACTCAGAGTACGATTTAGTTGAGAGTAAGAATGCTCCTGAGAATGAGCTAGATGATACACAAGAAGTAGGAGAGGAAACTGATGAATCTGCAGAGAAAAGCAAACTAGATAATGTCGAATGTGAAGTAGCAGAGGCGCCAGAAATCAAGCAGGTGAAAGAGGTGCAAGAAAATGCTGAATCAGAAGTTACTGAAACGCAAGAAAATGTGCAATCTGAAGTTACAGAAACGCTAGAAGATTTGCAATCAGAAGTGACAGAAACGCAAGGAGATGTGCAACCTGAAGTTATGAACGACCATGTCCAGGAAGCTGTTTTGGATAATGACTCACAACAAAACAGTTTAGCAGACGAATTGGTTTCCTCTGAGGAGACGAATGAAGGAGCAGCAGGAGCAGGGGCAGAAGGAGCAGCAGGTGCAGCAGGTGGATCAGGAGCAGCAGGTGCAGCAGGTGGATCAGGAGCATCAGGAGCAGAAGGAGCAGCGCTTGCGCTTATTGAGATAGCAGAAGAAGAGATAGCAGACGAAATTGGGGAGTCTGCAGAAGACAAAACATCGTTGACTAGCAGGAATTCCCTAGACTTTGCGAACAAGCATGACGATAAAGATCTTGAAAAGGTTTGTTTATTTAAAGATTTATTCAAAACTTCAAAAGTTATAAGGATTACTTTTCATCTGAGGACTGATCGCTAGTCTCTGATAGCAAGTATCAACCCCACTTGTTTATCAATTAATTGTACTAATCAACTTAGCAATTTCCTTATATCCCAGATGCTATACGAGGACAATGAAACTAGGTTTAAAGGAGCTAAGCTCGTGCTCACTCCCAACCACCAAGAGTCAAAAACCGCACCTACAACTCCAGCTACTCCGGTTACTCCTGGCAAGAAGCTGAAAGAGGCCACAGTCGTCAGGGATTATGATGCAAGTAAGTAATTTATTTGGAGATGGTAGTTTGGTATTTGATCGGGTGTATCAATCTCAACTGCTGTTTGATAATTATGTCGTAATTGATACGAAATGTAACGCGCGGCAAATTTGAAAATATGTACTCCGCGCGAACGCACAAACTAATTATTATATTATATTCCACGGCTGTTCGATCAGAACGTCGATTTCTGCGATTCTAATTAGATAGGATTACCCTAGGATTTATCCTAGCGCGTCCGAGATATCTCGGATTTTATCAATCCTAACGCCGATCCAGTCCCCTCAGGATACCTCCGATGAATTCCTATCGCCGAGCGGCGATAGGATGTGTAAGTTCCGAGAGGCAATAGGATTTGCTCTCGGACCCGATAGGAAATTAAAAACCTATCGGATCCGAGCGCTAATCCTAGCGGATATAGGATTTAACAATTCCGAGTGCCGATAGGATTTGCTCTCGGACCCGATAGGATACTCAAATCCTATAGGATCCAAGAGCAAATCCGAGAGGCGATACAATTTCAAATATCAGGACCGATATAATTGGAAGACAACGCATATCTAATTACTGTAGGTTGAAACTTCATGCTTTCTGTCAGTTAACTTCAGGATCAGATCATGGCTTTATCTTAAGTTGATCCACGGTTGCCTGCAGGCTACAACAACAACAACATGGAGGTTGTTTAGGTTAAATTAAGTAGATAAATGATAACTTGAAACTAACTTAGTAGTTCTCTTTAAGAGTTAACTTCAGGATACATTGTAGTACTCTTCAAGCTAACTTCAAGATACATTGTAGTACTCTTCAAGTTAACCTCAGGATACATTGTAGTACTCTTCAAGAGTATGGCCGTATCCAATGATGATGAATTTTGCTTCTCTATATTTTCTCATTAATTTGACGGAAGAATGTAAACATACTAAAAGTAAATATTTTAAATTTTTTTCATGTTTTCGATCTCGATGGAATTTTATTTGAGTTCGGAAACGCGCAACACGCATTTTATCTCCCGGAAATGATGAATCCGAGGGCACACCTCTCGGAAACGTAAAATCCTAGAGCTAGGCTCTCGGATTTTTTCTATCCTATCGCCTCTCAAAAATAAAATCCGAGCGCCTAGCTCTCAGGAACGATCGGACGACGATCTGAAATGCGATCGGATCACCCTAGGACAGCGAACGTCGTCCAACTAGGAATTAAGAATAGACTGGAAGATTATTACTAAATCGAGCAAATATAAGGCAGGAGCGGAGCATTGTGGCCTCTGCTTAGACGAAAAGCTACACATCCTTAAGAACCCAGACTCAATAAATAAAAGATCTGAGATTATTTCTAAATGTAGACATTCTAGGAAATTCTTAGTTAGACATATTTAGTTAGAATTTATTAGTTATAAGTATTAAGAATCGTTGTTATTTATAGGTTTAGGAGTATTGAGTAATTGTTAATTGTTAATTGTTAATTATAAAATTTGGTAAATGAGCACTGCACTGTATAATGTTTGCCATTTTAATGTTAATCGTGTCACTGAAGATTGCTGTTCACACATCAATAATAAATATATATATAATATGTAGATAATAAATATACATATAATAAATATCGGCGAGCGCTTCGATTTCTTTATTTTGACCATGGGAAAAGAGAACGTGTGTGTTAACGGTGAAAATGTGTTTTCTTAAACAGATTAAATATATATACTCACATATATTCACATTTTATAAACTAACTTCTCAGCCTTAGATGTGTACCCCGAGCCAGCGTACGTTATCAATCCCGGAGAGATTGCGACGAGAAAGAACGCTACTTTGCTCCAGAAGTATTTTGATGACCCGTTCATGTCACCCTATCTGGCTGATCCGGAAACACTGGCAGCGCTTCCTCCTATACATGTTGTGGTAAGAATATATTTCATTCAATTTATTTTTTAAACTGACGACATTTTTGTTTATAGACTATGGATGTCCATGATATGAGTCGTGAGTATCGTTGTAGAATTGGAAGCGGTTTTAGAAGTTTTGAAATAACTGAAAATTTTGCTAGGTCCTCCTCCATGAGTTACTACCTGAGTTATATTGAAATACTCCTCTCTATGAAGATCACTTATTTCTCTTTACTCTTATCTTTTCACCTCTTACAGTCCGCTGAATACGACCCACTATTGGATGACTCCATCGCTTTCTGCCGTAAAGTGAAAGAAGCTGGAGGTGAGGTATCTCTAGAGATAGTGCCTGGAATGACGCATGGTTTCCTGAACCTTGTGTTAAGCAGCAAGGCTTGTGCTGACGCGGGGAAGCTGTGTTTGGTTGCTGTCAGTAAGATGTTCGATAGAGGCGAAGAAAAATGAGATTTAAAATTTATCAATTTGTGACATCTTGTTATTTTCTGCTGGTCAGGAATTAGTTTATTTAAGTGTTGACATTTTTAGTTACCCAGCATTAAGTTATGATATTATATTCTCAGTTGTTTACTTTCAGTGATTTTGTTGATTTTGCGTAGGTGTGAAACTTTTTGATTTTGACTTTGTAACAGAGACAACATATAAGTGTTGCCTCTGCTTTGTAATAACTTTCAATGTATTTGTGAAATAATATTTTAGCGTAAACATTGTAAATATTTTGCCTGCTTATAAACATCTTAAAGAGTTCAAAATATCGACAGACTGTTTAATTTTATTTATCGCATTTCTTTAACATAGTTAAATATCCTTAAAATGCCCCTTACATATTTTAAGGGCTACGTTTGTATGCATCATTATATCAATTATTTGCTTATATTTCCTACTTATCTTCAATATCATTGCATCCAAGCTTTTGGCTTTTCAGTGTTTCAAATGCTTTAGTTTTGTATTCACGTTTTGTGACGATTCCTTTACATTTATTTGCACAGTAAATACGCAGTTGTTTTATTTATTTATTTCACTCAATTCTCCAAAATGTATATGTTGATCTAAATTACTGTATCATGACTAATCAAGTTGATGATAGCTGTATATTTATGAATAATTAGGGGTCGTATTGACATTTAAAAATGAGTTAGTTCATATTTGATAAGAACCACCTACCGTACCTTATCTAGCCACTGATAAGGAAACGAAAGTTGTCACGTGATACGTGCATCATCGTTACCACGGTTACGGTTATGAGTGATGAGTCCACATTAAGGGTCGGATATGTAAGATAAACATTTCAGTTTAAAATTAAAAATCAAATCACAAATACAGTACCATTGTAATATTGATTTATACCATATGAAAATATTTATTAAGAAAACTATTAACGGTAAACACACTATATGCAGTAACAAATTATCATCATTATCACTTGATATTAATTTCATGGGAAAAAGAAGGAATTTGATGCCCTAAATGCTAAAAACTGGGAAAACTAAATAAAATTATGATTTTTTAATGTTCTAAAATACTTTACTAATTAACACCACACACATTCTCGCATTTATGCAACATATTATGTAATATTCATAATACATCATATCGCATAATCATGATAATGGTACATATCAGTATAACGATTACCCGATTGAAAATCTACCTAGTTTCTTATAAATAAGTCCTCAAGTTCAATATTTCAATCTTGATGAAAAAAGCTCTACCTGGGGATCTCAGGCTTCAGTGTTCAGTGGCGGAATGACAGGCTGAGTGCCGCCCAGTAAAACAAGCTATAAATTAGCCACCTTCAGTACCTCCTGAATGCCATGTTTTAACTGCTGAAAGTTGTAGTCCACAATACCTTGAGTACAGGCTGTTTCCTGCTGGAGCTGGATACAAACTAGGGCGAGATGTCTGTTGATCTGTTTGAGGTGGAGGAGAGTGTCGTTTAGTTTTATAACGGAGCAGGTCGAGAATACGCCGCGCTCCTCCCCTCCTTCGTACTCCTGCAGTTGGAAATTGGTCAAAATCTTACAAGCTTACTTGGACTTAGAAATAAGAATAGTTCCTGCTGACATGTTCTACCAAATCTAAATATCATTCAGCTCATTATTGTTATTATGAGTTGCAGATAATCGGGTTTCTAATATGTTTAAATAACTTAACGTAGTTAAAATTACCTGATAGATACAGCCCATGTCAGCTATTAAATCTAACATGTCACAACACAGTTCATACGTGGGCATATCAAACGTGCTGCTGTCTGTTGCAATGAATATCTGGAAGTTTAAAGAGGGTTTTACTAAGTCTAAGTGATGTACAAATAAATGGTATAAATGTTATAGTTGAAAGATGAGATAATCTTCAGAATGGCTTAATCCAACTTATATAAATATTATCACTGTTAGGGGTCGTCAAATCAAAGGCCCTTTTCCAAGTAATATCCCGACAGTTAACATCCATGAGACTAAAATGTTGATTACAACCAAACCCCCCCCCCCCCCCCCCCTGATTACATAATATGTGAACGGCCCCTTATGGATGATATCAATCACCAGTTTGCATAATCCTAGTCAATCCTAAATCTTTCTATTGAGAATGCTTGTACGATGACTTTACCTTTGGATGTAAGTCGAATATAAAAGCCTTTTCCATCTTGTTGGAGCTGACGAAAGCGTTAAGAATGTTCTCGAAGGGTGACAGAACGTTCTCTAGAAGCTGCTGACAGACTATACTCATCGCTTCGAAGATTGAGTGGTCGTAGATGCTGGGGTGGGTATTATTATGCCCATGAAACTGATGCCTCGAAATTGTTGCTACGTACGTTGCATTATCAAAAACAAAAATAAAAAACAAAACGTTATCATACCTTGTTGTTCTGAAGCTTATCAATATTCTATCTTGCAGGCCTGAATAATGATTTTGATTACAACCAAGTTTACATATTTCGGAATCCCAAGGGGAGGGAGTTTCTAAATGATATTGATAACGTTAGTGTCAAATTAACACAATAGCCACGTGTTAAGAACCTACCCGCAGTCTATTTGCGTGTTGCTATGGTAACGGTACCTACCCGCAGTCTAACTGCGTGTTGCTATGGTAACGGTACCTACTCGCAGTCTAACTGTGTGTTGCTATGGTATTGGTAACGGTACCTACTCGCAGTCTAACTGTGTGTTGCTATGGGGGGGGGGGGGGGGGGGGGGGGGCCAATGGCATAAATGGAGAAAATGGAGAATCACAATGCTGGCAAGCATAACCGGTGCCCTTATATTCACAACACTATGTACCCCCTATACTATTATATCCCCTTTATTGTTTTCCAGGCATTAAGACTCATCGAAAGTAGTTCAGCAGGTATATTTAAGTTCAAAACATTCTAATTCAATGTTAAAGATGACAGGAATAAGAAATAGTTATGTGGAGGTTTTTAAGAAATTTGCGCAAAATACGCGCCAGCATGTTATACGAAATTAGGTAAAAAACCCAAAATCGCCATATTCAGGTGCCTTAAAAACCATGTTAAAATTGAGTTAGAGATCTGAAACTTTGCAGAGCGTCTAGACCTTGTCCAAATCGACTGTAAAAAAAATTTCATGTTGCAGGAGTATCGGGAAGTGGGTTTTCTGGAACCCCTGTTTTACAACAGATTGTCGTGAAGCTATATATATATATATATATATGTTTGAGACATTCAGTGAAACAGTAAAACACGAAATTCACATTAAGCTATCGATTGTGTAATCTTTACATGTCTCATTCTGAAAGCAAGTTTATTAAAATAACTGTTCTATGAAGTAAATTAAAAACATGACAAAAATAGATCAATACTGAGATGGGAAATTTTTGAGTAAGTCTCATTCAATCATAAGATATAAACAAAAGATGCAGAGGTGAAAGTAAACATCAAAATGCAAGTGTCTGTGGAAAGATTAATATTAAAACATATCATATAAAGGTCAATTTTTTATTTCATTAAGAGCACTACGTTTATTAAGTCCTCCAAAATCACTGAGGGTCATAAGCTGGTTTTGCCAAAATGATTCTCTTTCTTTAGCAACCCTACTTCTATCTTCTAAGGTTAAACATTTTATAAAATCTAGCTTTTCAAAAATAATAACCTCTATCTGATCGGATAACTCATTGTCAAACGTTTTTAAGGGCTCTTTGGTAAGATTATGGAACTGGTTATCGTTGAAATGACAAGAAATTTCACAACTCCTAACCGCTTTCCTAATATGTGATTTGTGGTTCTGCCATCTGGTCTTAAAATTGTTAACTGTGCTTCCTACTGAGGCACGTCTGCAGACTTTATCCCTTACTAGATAGCACACCCCTACTGTGTTGCAGTCTAGTTGTCCAATGATGTTAACAGTGTACCCCGAGTGGTAGCTCTGAGCTGTTTTTGATTCACAAATATACATTCTACAGGCTTTACATCTGGAGTTACAATGATAACATCCCCCCTCTTCTATACTAGTAGGCAGAGCCACATTTTCAGTGTTAGAGTTTAAAGCTATAACATTACTATCTTCATGATACTTACGATCTTCTGAAAGTTTACTCGGAACTAAAGTTTCTTTGATAGTTTTATTACCACGATATGAAACAAATACTTTACTAGGCTGGATCACAGACTTTAAAAGGGGGTCTAGGCCAAGGATAAATTTATTCTTGTTAACTATTTTACCAATTGGAGGTAAGTTAGGGTCAAAATCACAAACTAAAGGAAAACATCTTTCACTCTTCTTACTATTAGAGCTTGTAAGGTTTTTTGAAATCAGATCATCCCGTTTAAGTAACTCAACTTTCTCAAAGGATTTATGGATAAGATCTTTATTGTAATTCCTATCTTCTAGATATTCACTAAATTCAATTTTACATTTCAAATATTCTTCTTCCTCTGAACAGTTTTTGAACACTCGATGTGCTACTCCATATGGAATATTCTCTGCTATGTGTGTAGGGTGGCAGGATTGTGGGAGTAAATAGCTATGGGCATCACTAGGTTTGCAGTACGTCCTAGTTTCTAGCTTGCAATGTATGTATATATGTATAGACGCTTTTGCAGTAAATTGTAGCCTACATTTAAGTGTCCGTAGATTCAAAAGTATAAAAGATACAGTCATTTCGAACCACAGGTTTTAAAGATAATTGTTTATACTTTAGTTTACATTATATCGAAAAATAATTTATCGTCATCATCATCACTTGATGACGTCATCAATTTAAGTGTTTTTAAAACTTGATTTTTGACAAAATAACAACTTTTCAAATCGATTTTAAAGCATTAAGGAGTAATTTTATTCAAAATCTGAGGACATTTTCATCTTAGATAATTGTTCAAGCATTCTGAAAATCTACCGAAAAGTTTTCCTACCTTGCTCCTTCATAAAGATATTCGCTATTGAAGTTAGTGCTTTTTTGAAGAATAATTTTATAAAAACACAAAAGTTGTGAATTAGTATTCTCTGGTGTTGGGCCATCCCTTGGGTTGTGGAGCTCAATTTTGCTTCCTAAAGGTCTAAATTGTGTTATAGGCTAGTTTTAAAGTTGAAAATCGAAAAGTTGCACACGTGGGGACACGCCCAAATTCATTTAAAATAGCTAAAATCACTGAAAATTGTTATTTTCACGATTTTTACCAACTTTGGAGTCCCGTTGTGATCCAAGTTCTTTTTGAAATCTTCTGAAACTTTTCATGCTTATCAAACTATATATTAAATAACACTATGCACAAATTTATGGTGATTCAATATTTTATGCGCACGCAACGTCCGCTCAAAGTTTGCACGTGCGAAAGGTGAGAATTTTGCTCATTCGTGATTTCGAATATATTCTGCTTTCCCACGATATTTAAATGGCATTATATATGAATTTAATGCCAACTTGAATGAGTAAAAAGTGCTATATTCAGTCTGTTATTGACAGATATGCCTACCTAAACACAAGGAAACGTTTTCAAAGGTAAAATTTCGAAATCGTTGAAATTACCTCCTTATTAAGTTTCGACTGTGTAAATTATCCTAAAATTATAATCAAAAAGAGATGATATTTGACCAAAACCCATAATCATGGGTAGAGTGAACCGCTGCCAGTGTCTCTCTTTTCCAAACAAAAGAAAATGATATTAATTTGAGGAACCGTCCGCTAATGCAAAATGATACCGAGAATGAAATCGGTCGCTCGCTTTTCCCATTCATTCACGGCTTACGAATTGTAATAAAGCTTATTAAATGGGAAAAGCGAGCGACCGATTTCATTCTCGGTATCATTTTGCATTAGCGGACGGTTCCTCAAATTAATATCATTTTCTTTTGTTTGGAAAAGAGAGACACTGGCAGCGGTTCACTCTACCCATGATTATGGGTTTTGGTCAAATTACTCATGGGTTTTTCCATTTTCTCCATAGAAAAAGTCTCCATTTTATGCCATTTTATGCCATTTTATGCCATTGAAAACCTGAAAAATTTATAATTTCGAGAAAAATTATTTTTGAAAAAGATATTTTCGGCCAATAATGAACAGGGTATCATGAAACATGGAGAAAAGTGGTTTTCAGAAAAACTTTGAAAAATGTTGACTTAGAAAATTTTCGGTCCGAGTCATTTTCGATAGTACCTCCCGTATCGAGAGCTCCCGATTCCGAGCTCTTGTTGCAAAGGGGAGGCCTGCCTTCCGGGATCGCATTATCTCGAGTCCAAAATTGTGTATCAAGGGGAAGTTGTGGAATTCGAAAAACCGAAAAAATATTTTCGGCAAATAATGAACAGGGTAGCATGAAACGTGGAGAAAAGCGGTTTTCAGAAAAATTTGAAAAATTTTGACCGAAAAAATATTTTCGGCTTAAAATGAACAAGGTAGCATGAAACGTGGAGAAAAGTGTTTTTCAGAAAAACTTTGAAAAATTTTGACTTAGAAATTTACCCCTCGGTACACAATTTTGGACTCGAGGCTTCCCCCTGGTAATGCGTTCTCGGAAGGCAGACCTCCCCTTTGCAACACGAGCTCGGATTCGGTTACCTGAGGACCCCAGGCTATTATGTTCATTAGATTTGGCGGAATGACAGGCTGAGCGCGGCCCAGTAAGGATTCGGGAGCTCTCGATGCGAGAGGTACGTATCGAGAATGACTCGGGCCGGAAATTTTCTAAGTCAAAATTTTTCAAAGTTTTTCTAAAAACCACTTTTTTCCACGTTTCATGCTACCCTCTTCATTATTAGCCGAAAATATTTTTTTGGATTTTCGGTTTATCGAAGTCTGCACCTACCCCTCGATACACAAATTTGGACTCGAGGCTTCCCCTGGTAAGTGGTAATGCGATCTCGGAAGGCAGGCCTCCCCTTTGCAGTGCGAGCTTGTTTCGACTTTCGAGGATGTAGGTCTCACTTCTCAGTGCCTATTACTCTCCCCTATTACTCACTCCTGCTGTAGCCTGTAGAAATAACTTTACACTAGGCTTGAGTAATTATGATTTTGCCTGAAGTGTGCCTCTACTAACCTAGTATAAGCATCTAGTAGCCTACTATGAGCTTTCCTAAGCTTGTTACGCCCCTAGTAAGCGTAAATAAACATGTTAGGATGTCCAATTTAGGTGTTAAATGGTGTTAAAGATGAAATTTCGAAGACAAAATTCATGGCATAAAATGGAGAAAATGGAGAATTACTCATGGGTTTTTCCATTTTCTCCATAGAAAAAGTCTCCATTTTATGCCATTTTATGCCATTTTATGCCATTGGCCCCCCCCCCTGCTATGGTAACGGTACCTACTCGCAGTCTAACTGCGTGTTGCTATGGTAACGGTACCTACCCGCAGTCTAACTGCGTGTTGCTATGGTAACGGTACCTACTCGCAGTCTAACTGTGTGTTGCTATGGTTACGGTACCTACCCGCAGTCTAACTGCGTGTTGCTATGGTAACGGTACCTACCCGCAGTCCAACTGTGTGTTGCTATGGTAACGGTACCTACCCGCAGTCTAACTGTGTGTTGCTATGGTAACGGTACCTACTCGCAGTCTAACTGCGTGTTGCTATGGTAACGGTACCTACCCGCAGTCTAACTGTGTGTTGCTATGGTAACGGTACCTACCCGCAGTCTAACTGCGTGTTGCTATGGTAACGGTACCTACCCGCAGTCTAACTGTGTTGCTATGGTAACGGTACCTACCCGCAGTCTAACTGTGTGTTGCTATGGTAACGGTACCTACTCACAGTCTAACTGTGTGTTGCTATGGTAACGGTACCTACCCGCAGTCTAACTGTGTGTTGCTATGGTAACGGTACCTACCCGCAGTCTAACTGCGTGTTGCTATGGTAACGGTACCTACCCGCAGTCTAACTGCGTGTTGCTATGGTAACGGTACCTACCCGCAGTCTAACTGTGTTGCTATGGTAACACTAACGGTACATACCCGCAGTCTAACTGCGAGTTGCTCTGGTAACGGTACCTACCCGCAGTCTAACTGTGTGTTTCTATGGTAACGGTACCTACCCGCAGTCTAACTGTGTGTTGCTATGGTAACGGTACCTACCCGCAGTCTAACTGTGTATCGCTATGGTAACGGTACCTACCCGCAGTCATAAGTTTCCTGTTGATTCTGTGAGTCATTTCTCTGATATTATCTATTTTCTGATCTTCATTTATCGAGTCACTTTTGTGAATAAAAACTTCAAACTTTATTTTCGGGTTAATCTGAAAAGTTGTTTTGTGATATTTAAAATTGGATCCCTCACTTGAGTAGTGAGTCAAAAATACATTGTCTAGACCGTGCTGATCCACACTTAATAAGTGTATGCAGTTCTAAGACTTAAAGATAACCATATGTTACGTGAAATTATATTTGTCTTTACTGATCCAAATCAAACCTTCACTTACCCGCCGTATGGCGGTCGCGCGTTATTCATATTGCAAGCAAACCTTGTAAGCCTCTAGTATAGTCCCATGGAGCCTATCTATAGCTATACTGTGTTTCTCCTCGACCGGGTCTATAACAAATATCAGAACCCTGGCTTCGACGAATATCTTCTCAATTGTGCTTGTATCTTCTTTGTCTCTCAAATGGGAGATGTCCAGTTTCCCAGGAAAGTCCCACAGCTGGAAATTTTGTGAAAGTAAGATTTTCTAGTTTGGGGGCGAAATCGGCAACTTTATCCAATGATCATTTGATTCTACTTAAATTTACTACTAACCGAGATCAGGCACAATGTACAATGTACAATGTACAATGTACATGATTATTGAATTTGATTAATTACCTGAAAGTCAAGGAAGGACTTATTACTGATATCGATCTTATCTATTTTATGTGTCGGGTCCAAGAACTGAGTCTCATTTGCGCTCATCTTGTGGAATATAACATTTCGTATCGAGGTTTTGCCAGCTTTACTCAGTCCCATTAGAAGAATCTGCAAAACAAATGTTTATCAATAAAAGATTCGTTCTGAAATTCAGATAACATTCAATGAAACAGAAACATTTTGATATGTACGCATCTTTTTGATCCTTCCCAACTCACAACTTGTAGCGGCCCAGGGGCGCTATGATCTCGAGAAACTGTATGAAAATTACGTCATATCTCCCAGTCTCCTAGCTTTGTTGACAATCCTAAATCTGTCTGTGGAGTCCGGTACTTTTTTGTTTTATACTGAAGATGGGAAACCGCTTCCCACTAAGGATGCATTTTTAACAAAATTGATTTTTGGTTCCCATTGCAAAAAAATTTCTCCATTCTTATTGAACACATCGCAAAATAAAACAAAAATTTCTGAAAAAATTTGCAGTTCATGGTCAACGAAATATTGCTAATATAAGTTAAAATAATTTGATCCAAATACAAACAAAATATTTTCGAAGGAAAAACCACTTAAAAAATAAAAGCTGTGCCATCACTGATTCACTGAACTCGTTTGAATGACCCTTTACCCTTGGTAAAACATGCTTCGAACGCTTCTGCAATCTCTGCTTTTTGCCCAACAAAATTTAAAAAGTTTTTTCTCACATTTTCAACGCAATCTGGGAGGTTCCTATCTGCTCTGCACGCTTTTTCAGCGAACTGTCCTGTTAATGACCAAAAGTGAGCTGCTCCGAAGGAAACTTGTTTCATTGCAATGGATGAGTCCACTGTTTTCTTGACCCCGTCCGGACATGTCATGTGCATTATCACCGGTATATCGGACTGGTCAATCTCATACCTGTCCACAATACCGAAGACGATCCCTGCACCCGGCACATCAAACTCCGTGACCTGTCCGTGTTCTTTCTCGTTGGTAGTCGTTGTTTCAGTTGTTTTGGAGCTTCCCATAGTAATAGCTCCACCAGCTCCCATGGACAGACCTGCTGAGAAAGATGATCCACTTCCCAGGAATCCTACATCAACGGTCACTTCTGCAGAAACTGTTACGTCCCAGTTAACTTCATTTTCTTTTGAAATTTCGAGACTTACTGATTCCTCCACGCCATTTATCTGCGTGATTGAGATCTCGTGTGAGGCTGGTCCGTAACAAGATCCACTGGATTGAGAGCCGATGATTTCAGTTCCAGTGTACCTGGGCTCTAAGTCTCCTTCCTTGTCCAATACTTCGATTTTTGACAGTGCGCACTTTTCCTTTCCTTTGTATGTCTCACAGATTGGTCTCAGAGAACTGACTTTATTATCGAATCCATGATCACCAGTGTGTTCGATCTTTTCTCCTTCTTTTATCACTAATCTCACCCCTTCGAATCCTCCATACTGATACATCTCCCAGTCTCCTTTGTCGGCAACCACAGAAGTTATCTTATTTTTCATATCTCCTAAATCTTTCTGTGGGGTCAGGTACTCCGTCGTTCCATACTGAAGATGGGAACTTGTAGAGACACGTAATTTGGCTGTCGTAGCATCGGCGATGTAGCGGCAATTAGCAGGTCTGGCTGAGGAGTAAGCGTTGGAGTCTCTTGCATTTATCTTCTGGCCTTCTTCCATGAAGAACCTACTGTACTGGTAATCGTATCCCGTGTAAAGTTCCCAATCTCCAGTGACTGCCCACACACTGCTAGTATTATCATTGAAATTTATATCACCAAAGTTTGGCGTTGGGCCGATTAGGGTAATGGCCGTTCCTCCTTGGTTAGCGTGGTCGTAGATGACTAGCTTTGGTATGGCTTTACTTGGTGCTTCATTCACAGCAAAGGCTTCACGTTCAGTGGACCCTGGACATATTTTAGAAAACTTCAGATCAGAGTCTCCTGACTTTCCTTTTATTGTTTTTGTCTTTTTCGTCTTTTTTGTCTTTTTTACCTTTTTCACCTTTTTCACCTTTTCCTTTTTTTGTTTTCTTTTCCTCAAGCTCAAGCTTCCTGGCTTGAACTTAACACTATCTATGCCAGTTAAGAATCCGTTTATGTCCTTCGTTAGCTCGTTGTACGGAATGGAGATGAGAACCTTTCCTTGACATACCATGACCAACTCAGTGGCCTGGAACTCAAATTTGAACTCCCGCTGGCCGATTCCACTAGGGTAACTCATGGTCACCCACTGGTAATCCCACTGCTTCTTTCCTCGTTTGAAGACGTCGTTTTTGACAGCCAAGCTTCCAAATTCCCATTCGGGATGTATTCCCAACATGAGTACTTCTTGGTTATCTTTGAGAAATGATACGTCCCCATTATACACATTGGAGCTAGGTCCTACTACTTTCAAATCGCACGATGTTGTAAAGGGAACTGCAACACCGCTTTGTGCTGTTGTCAAGGGTTCATCAGCAGCAAAGACTCCTACCAGGAAGAGAGCAAGCAAATTCGTGGCAGCAGTTAGAAACATGAGTGAAAGATTTGTATGTAACAATGGTCTCCTAGCCAATTATACACCAGCCTCTTGAAAATGAGGGCGTTGTGTTATTGAGACGTCCGTTTGATTCCTTTTAATTAGCCTGACGAAATACGAATGAAAAATATGATCTACAAAGCCTCTTTGAACGTTGTGACTTGCCAATGAAAAATGATGCATGTGTCTTTTATCAGTATGTGTTTTCGTTGGTAAGATTATTTGTAAGAATGGTTGACTGAAGGCGTTAGAACAATACCATATTTTGTCAAAACAAGAGGGTTATTACTTATTTTTCCTAAACAATCAATGTTTTTTCTACTAAAGTACTAAAAACAATTATTGTACGTCTTTTCAACGAACCCTCTGAAGAACAAATATATACGAAATGAAAACCACTATCATGGACATTAGTGAACACCAAATCATTTCATATGATATATTATTATTTACCAAATATTCCATCACCAGTCTTTGAAAACGGAGGACTAGAAGTAGAACTTAAAGTTTTGATAACTTTCAAATTCAATAAATCGATCATTCAAATTGCGCGCGGCTCAAATAGAGTGCACCATAATTATAAGATTAAACATATGCGCAGATGATATTTCTGATGTCTTCAGCCGTCGTCTCGTCGTCTGGATTCTGTAATAGTAATTTGGTAGTCTGTATGCTGTTTAGTGCTTTCACTGACACTTTATCCAGCTGTATAGCAAGCATTCCTTGTCATTGATAAAGATATATCACAAGGAACCTCATTGGAAAAAGCAACCTGGAATGTGTTTTTCATAAAGTTCAAAAGACTTGCACTCGTCTGATGACACACAAAAACACATAAATTACTTGTCATTGGCAAGGACTAGAATTAAAAACAGGCTAATACTTGTCGTTCGCATTCTGTCAAGCTAACAACCTATATTGAATTATAAAACCGCACGGTGCTCAGAAATAATCTGAACTTAAACGCTATCATTTCCAAAAGGTTGCTCTATTAATTGGTAGTGCGGTCGTTCACAGTCAAACTCTTCAAACATGTTTGTAACTACTGCGACGACTTTACTTCATACTTGCTCTCTTCGCATTGGGAGTTTTTGCCGCTGATGAACCTAAGCTAATGATGTACGACAGCTTAAACCAAGAAGGAACAGCCGTTACACTTACAGGTCCATTTGCAAACTTTAATGACGTAAGTTTTAATGAAAGAACCGAAAGCGTTTGGGCAGTCACTAGAGATTGGGAACTTCACACAGATACTGCATACAGGGGTGATAGGTTCTTCGTGGAGGAAGGTCAGAAGCTAAACGCAAGAAACAGCAACAGTTATTTCTCAGCAAGACCTATAAACTGCAGCCATAAAAAAGTGTGTTTCTAGATCAAAACGCGCAGTTTTGCTAGTCACTAGTACCGTAGTTAATTTTTTCAAAATTGTCCCACATTTGTCATTCAAACGAAGATTTGGCGCCCCCTGGCTCTAAGATGGCGCCCCCCCCCCCCTCTGCACAGCGGGGTCGGTGGGGCAATTCGTTACGCCACTGCATACCTATATGCGTTCGCCACTAGACCTGTTGAAAAAAGGGTAACTACCTGCTGAAATTAATTTGTGAAGCGCGGCGTGATCATGTTATGTGAAGACAGCGATGTTATAATTCGTCAAAAAGTACAGCCGTATTTGATTACAAATAACTATTAGTATTTCGGACAGGTTCGACTAGAGTCCAGTGAAATCAAGTTACCTGGGCCGGGAGTGGGGACCCCAGGCTATGGTATAAATATAATGTTTATATAAACATTGAACATAGAGTAGAGATTCAGCGGAATTGGAATGACTTTATTGACGTTTTCAACCCTTCCAAATCGTTGCTCTGCCATCTGCAAAGCATGCATGAGAGCAACGATCTCGTCATCTTCGATGCGAAGCAAGAATGCTAGTTTGCGCGGCGCGTCAAAGCGGCAAAGACCGATCCAACGGAATGACAGGCAGAGCGCCGCGGCCGCCCAGTAAAGATCAAGGCAAATGCAATCAGCTGCCTACTCAATTCGATCTATAAAGCTAAGCGTTTGCATTTTTTTATTTCAGTTCAAACATGAATCAATTGGGTAATGGGTATATTTACATTATTCATATATATCTATCTAAATCTAATATATTAATATAGTAATAATAATATTTTGAATTTAACTTTTAATTAATTTGGCGCCCCACTGACCCAGTTTAGTTACTCGATACTCACCGCGTACTGCAGTTTATAGATTTGGATTACAGAGTACGTTGTATTTTAGACCTGCACCACATTAGATAAAGTACAATACAACTTAACCTGGGGATTGGGTATTAGAATTATAGCCCTTGATCGATTGTATGGTCAATGATGTATAATGTTATTACACCCTACACCCTGGACCAGGAATTCAGGAGCAGGTATTTACGCGCATTTTGAAAATGTCGCACCACTCGCCATTGTTTGTAAATGTAGTCGACATCAAATCCGTAGCGGTACACGTACTGAAGTTCGACACACACTCTAGTTGAGCCGACCTTATTACATAAAATTAAATGCGACACTATGTCACTTGCAAGTTGCAACACTAACATGTGGTACTTTC